CATCTTAAGCAGCCTCGCCCCTCTTTTATTAATGAATAAGATGCAAGCAAGAAAAAATTGTATTTGAATAATAGAAAACGATTTTAAGTCAGATTTAAGGAGATCAAGGAAACATAAAAAAAAAAAAAAATGCATATGTATAGTTAGGAATGGAAATATTAAATTCAAAAGTTGGGAAAATACATCATGAGAAATAACGAGGTTTCTTAAAAGTATAATAATAAATAAAAAAAGAAACGGTGATACTAAAAAAAAAAAAAATGATAACTATGCAAGATTTTGTTTTATATAGGAAACAGAATAATCATATAGCCTACAAGCCAACTGAGAGGAATGATGAAAAAAATATTATATGAAAATGATAAAAGCAAATGGCGATGATAGAAATGTGTAAAAAATCTATGATAAACCACGCTGAGATACTGCTAACATGAACTAATGGAAATAGAAAAGTGCATAACAGATATAATGTGGAGGACCTTCGAGCAGCAGAACGAAGTGATGATTAATATCAAGATGAGAATTTTACAAACGCCATTCACAGTCGCAGGAGTCCTAAAAACGAGAAGTAGCTTCGAGGTGGGGGGAGGGATATCAGACTAAGCACAAGAATACTGGAAAATATCGAGGAGATAGTTATATGTGTAAGGAAGATATTTATAAAGGGGAGATGCAATTTCCTCTTTGTTTTCTTGCATTTTCTATTTTTAACTTATGACAAGTGCGTAATCCCTAAAAGATTGATACAGTTTTTCACTAAAGAATGTAAATGAAGCTGAAATCTCTTTATATTCAATAACATTCAATATAACATTGTATAAAATCAGTTTTAATAATATTAAATCCTGTGTAATAGTATCGCCCTCAGACATTTTATCAAATAACCTTTTCAGTTCCTATGAAGCAACAAAACATAATTTTCTCTGTCTCAGATTGTGCAAACCATGCAATATTATATATATATATATATATATATATATATATATATATATATATATATATATATATATATATATATTTTCATAAAATAACCTTGTTCATCCAGCGAAACTGAAAAACGTACGACAATTTTTGACACTAAAGATACGAAATGTGTGTGTAAATATGTGTGTTTTATTCCCTGACTTTTTTCTTTCATTTATGTGTAATCTAATTGCATCAAACCATCTTAACAAAATCATTGTTCTTTTTTGAAATTCGAGCAACATTACCAAGTGGAACGCTTCCACAATATATTTTGAATTAGCCGTTGCAGAAACGTACAAAAATATACTATACAGTACGACTATTCTTCAGAGCAAAGGTACGACATCGCGAGAGTGACGTTGGGGCAACACCTGACCGGGATTGAGTTTAGTATCGAAGGCACGATGGAGAGGCGTGTGTAGACGTAGTTCCTTGTCCAATTCTACTCCTTTTTATAAGTTCCTGGATGACAGCAGGAGGATCAAGATGTCGGTCAAGAGATATTTAACCCCGGAACAGTTAGTGGGGTTTGAAAATTATAAGGTAAGAGTCGGTGTTGGGTGTAATTTAAAAAATAAATTCTTCTCTCACTCGTGGACATGAACTTTAACTCGGGAGTTGGAGTCCCATTAATGAGTGACTCTAGTGGCATTTTAGGACAATTTGTTGGTATTTTGGGCACGGGAATAGATTTTCGAGTGTTCATAGGCAGTGATATAATAAGACAATCAATAGGAATTATGTAGTTTTCATATTATTAGCTTCTTAATGCAGTGGGTGATGACCACATTATCCTCCTCGATTGATTTGCTTGCACGCAAATTTCCCGTCTCTTTGAATATGCTTGTGATTTTGTTTAATTTTACGTTATTAGTCATTTGGGGATAGAATACCTGTGGGTTCTGAGACGAATTTTCTGAAGAATTGTTGTACTCTTTCCCAAAGGCTGAAGGAAAAGGGAAATATTAATGTCAGTCTTGATGCATGTGAAAGCACAGTTCAAGAAACTGCACAAAAAATGGTTTAAAAAAAGATGAGGATCTGGCGTGAAACACAGTCAGAGGAATTTAGGGCATCTGCTGTTTCATATTTGTTGTAATTAACTAGTCTGTCATCACTTCTTAGATTGCTTTAGTGGCCTTGTAGTCTACTATAGAGAATTTGGGGTAAAAGTTTGAATTGTAACAGTACCATAAAGTAACAGGCATATATATAGTAGAAAAGCATAACATTCTTTATTCCATATAGATATATATGGGACTTTGTGTAGGTCTTACAGTAGCTCTATAGCTCATTCAAGTGTAATTGCGAAAACCCTGGTATCTGATATTTGATGAAAGATTGAATTGTAGGACACATCACCAGTGTTTGCTTGAGACAGATCTTTATCTTTCAAAATTTTATGATTGTTTCACATGGGATTATTGAAGAACTAGTCTTGCAAAATTCAGGATAGGACGTAATTTTTATGCCGAGCACTGAAGAAGCTTTACAAGCAAGATGCCAGGAAAAGCATTTGCATGGAAGAGGAGACATCAGGGGATATAACCCCCTCATTTTAAATTATTCTACCATCTCTCTACCTTCAGAAATTCACAAGTGACTGTGCCCAAAATGCATTCTAAAGTGTTGCTCTAACCCTATGATACCCCAGTGCCCAAACCTGGTCAATGTGTCCATTCTTGAGATCTTAGTTGTAAGTGAATGTGCTTGCCTGTGAAATAATATGAACTTTATCAGTGATATAACTGATAACAAATGTGATGATTCAGATTAGCCTTGATAATCTGAAGGGGTATAAAGTTTAGTGAGTATTTATTGGGGTAGAATAGAAAAGGAGTGGCTGCAATATTTGGGCATAGTGCTTTACTGAAATAGTGGAGTATTTGTTGAGTTAGAATTGTTGGGGAGTGAGGGGGGCTGAGTGTGTGTTTGTGTATGTCACCCATGTGTGTACGTGTGTGTGTGTGTGTGCTTGCTTTCATTCATGTATGTGCATGTGTGCTTGCTTGCATGCATGTATGTGCATGTGTGCTCGCTTGCATGCATGTATGTGCATGTGTGCTTGCTTACATGTATAGTTTAGTGTGTGTGTGTGTGTGTGTGTGTGTGTGTGTGTGTGTGTGTGTGTGTGTGTGTGTGTGTGTGCGTGCGTGCGTGCATAACCCAATGCCGACGGGTATTAAAGTTTGGCAAGTGGACGTAATAACGGGATTGTTGGCATGCATTGGCAGTTTCCCCAGTTTGCACCTGGCTAGTTTGGTAGTTTGCAAGCGGCAGTGTGCACCTAAAAGCTCTCATTTTTCTATGATTAATAAAAATATTATAATTTTGTCTGCTTGCCTTCATTATAGGTGCTATTGCCTAAAATCTTTACCAAATAAATGAAGTCACTACTATCGGAGAAAAAAACTGTCCAACGTGCATATGTCACGGGAATGGGCATGATACGATGCCGTCCGTATTTTGGTCCACAACAGCCATGGCATGTACATACATACCACCCATCGGCTTGTGGGTAAGTGGCTGCGTGTGTGTGTGTGTGCATGAGTGGCTGCGTGTGCAGGTGTGTGAATGGCTGTGTGTGCGGGTGCATGTGTGTATGTGAATGGCTGTGTGTGCATGTACGTGAGTGGCTCTGTGTGTGTGTGTGTTTTTGTTATTGTTTGTTTGTTTGTTTTGTGTGTGTGTACTGATATTGAGCAATGCAGAAGTGGAACTTATGAAATTGTCCATGATTTTTGTCCATGATTTAAAGAGGATTGTACCGTCTAGAGATTCTGGAAAATGACAAAATTGGCTTTTTTTGCTAATAAGATCCTCTTCTTTAATCTCTGAATGCCCCAATGTCACTTTTATGATTCCATCTTCCCGACCTGGCCCCCTTTCCCTGCTTTCTCAACTCTTGTTACAAAAAGCTTCCAGATATAATTAGATGGAGTGTAGATAATGAATGAACTTAAAATTTAAGCTGGGGGGGGGGAGTACAAGATTTTGATTGTTGGAGGGCTTGGTGGTGGGTATTTGGTATGGGGATCGTTGTCTTATTAGTGAAAAGAATCATGTTTCACAATTTTCACGTGTATATTTTTAAAGCATCCCCAGGTTTCCTAGAAAATGGAAATTTGGCAATATTTTCTTTAAGGTCTTTTGCTGTGCAATAATTATCAAAGCTTTCTATATAAATTGCAAATGTGTGATGAACGAGTTGTAGTGCATTTTCTGTCAATCTCAAGGCTGCTTTCTTGGTCAAGATTCAGTATTTCTCATGCAGTCCGATGCGATTAGAGTGAATCTACAGTTCATTTTTTCTTTGCCAACCTTCAGTTTCCAAGTAATCACCATCCTCCCCATCCAACAGGCCTGGGGCATCAGTGGGAAATTTATGTTATTGGTGTGAGGGGAGACAGATTGCATAAACATACTCAGTTTCTGCCAAATGTAAGATAAGAAAGTAAACAATTTGGTTACAGTTTACTCGCCCACATGGCATTCAAGACATAGTTATGTATACCCTAACAGCTGTACTCCCAACTCTCCTCTCCCCCACATGAGAGTAATCTGAAGTGATGTCACTGGTTGGTAGCTGATACTGTTGTAGTGTCAACATTTTATTACTTGTATACTTTTTTTGCATTAAACATATACCTCCCCCCCCCCCAAAAAAAAAAAAAAAAAAAAAAAAGTTATTGTTATTTTCATTATGATGATGATGACTGTTATTATTATGACTATTATTATGATTGATATTATTCTGGTTATGATGATGATGATGATGATTCAAATACTTCAACTGATGTTTTGTTTGCAAATTCTCAGTAAAAGCATGTTTTCTAAGTTAGTGACCGTTGAGGTTTCATTTTCATTCACTCATTTTAAGGTTTTAAGTATCAAGAGCTTCAGCAACAGCTCAAGTTTTGGAGTTTTAAAGATATAAAAGATAAGAAAGATAAAAGATAAACTAGATAGAGAGTGGACTCAGGTTCCATACATCAGTTACCCATATCTTATTGCTTAATTATTCCTATACTTCTTATGTTTATTTATTTATTTATGTGTATGGTTGTGTTCGTGTGTTAAGCATGTGAATGTGCAAGTGTGAATGCATGAATGATTGAACTCATAACCAAGTAAGCAAATGCCATAGAGCTTGCATGATCGTAAGGAAGAGCCTCTTAGTACAGTAATTATTTGTGACTCCAAGTACGGCAGAAAAGCCTCTAATTGGCGTTCTGTGCATGCATGGTGAAACAAACAAGGTGTTGGCGGTCTAAACATGTGAAGGGGATAACACACTATTAGGTTAGGTTAGGTTAGGGTCATACTTATTACCCGGGAATAATGTTTACATGTGCACATGCATATGTGTGCCGTATGCCTAACTGCGTGAAATTAGCTATGGTTACCATACGCATGACACTGACGTAATTATTTCCAGCCAGTCTATAAGTATTACTTGTTCAATGGTATTTTTTATCCTACGTTCATGTTATTACCCCATAGATTGATTTTATTACCTATATTAATTACAGTGGATATCATTGTTGTTGAAATAATTAATTTTAATTTGTATTGCTGAAAATGAAGTTTGCTGGTCATAAAGGTTTAGTACTGATTAAAAATAATAATAATGATAAGAGATGTAATGTTTAAGATATAAATAATAATTTCTATCTGATCCTCATGGAACCCTTGAAATCCATCCATCAACTCCCGGATAAGAACCCCTGGATTAGATTTATACTAGTACTACAGGAAATATATATATATATTTTTGTTGTAGGAATATTCTCACTTTGTCAATGAATGACTTTGCTTTGTCTATGACTCACCAAAAAACCTGCAAAAATGAATAAAGAAGTGATGATGGAAATCCCTGGTTTTAGAGGAAGCATGTGAGTGTGGCTTTATAATGTACATATAATTAGAAGCACTTCCTGTACTATAGAATGTGAATTTCCAGCCCCTTTATTTGAAAAATACTATTACAGTAAATGTGATTCATTTTGAGTTTGTCAATTGTCACTGTTGGTTCTTAGTTTTTGTATTTTCTGTATATATTGAAAATTGTGTTTATATAAACAGAAGTTCCTTGAGTTAATCACTAGGTTATTAGTCTTAGATCCGGGTATGATTAATGCAATATGTTTACTTTATGGGGTAAACTATGCAATTGCATTCAGATAATTTATATGTTGATATATGCATTGTAACCAGACTGACAATACAGGGAGTAGTATAGGAATAGAAAGAATGTTGTATAGATAAGGTTGAAAAGGAAATTTCTATTATAACTCAGGAAGTAGTTAGACCCAGTGTTACGATATAGATAATTTCATCACCTGAATTTGACTACTATTGTTAGTTTGTAATTTTGATTAGGTAAGTCATCACTGCTTTATATGTTGTTTTTCATTTTATTTTCACATTATTGCATTGATGATAATTATCAGTTTATCATCTTCATCATCATATGAATTATCACTAGATTTAAAAACTAGTATTTTTTTATTCAGTTTTATTATTTTGAAATTCCAGTACTAATACATGTTAATTTTCTCTCCAACAGTATAGTGCTCAAGATACCAGTCCTCTCAGCAATTATGTTATGCACCCGTTTTGGAACACTGTAGTGAAGGTAAGGAACTTGCTGACCATTTATGATGTGAATGCACTTTCTTTTCATTTCTTCATCCTCCTCCTTTTTTCTTTTTGTTTCTTTTTTTCCTCTTTTTTATATTTTTCCTTTTTTCCATTTTTCCTTTCTTTTTTCACCTAGTTCCTTCCTTTTTCTTCATTCCTCCTCCTTTTTTTTCTTCTTCTTCTCTTCTTCCTTTCTTCTTTTCTTCCTCTCTCTTCATTTTTCTTCCTTTCTTCTCCTTTTCTTCCTTTCTTCTCCTTCTTCCTTCTTTTTCTCCTCTTCTTTGTTGTCTTCTTTTCTGCTGCTCTTCCTCTCCTCCTCTCCTCCTCCTCCTCCTCTCCCTCCTCTCCCTCCTCCTCTCCTCCTCTCCTCCTCCCTCCTCCTCCTCCTCCTCCTCCTCCTCCTCCTCTCCTCCTCCTCCCTCCTCCTCTCCCCTCCTCCTCCTCCTCCTCCTCCTCCTCCTCCTCCTCCTCCTCCTCCTCCTCCCTCCTCCTCCTCCTCTCCTCCTCTCCTCCTCCTCCTCCTCCCTCCTCTCCTCCTCCTCTCCCCTCTTCCTCCCCCCTCTTCCTCCCCCCTCCTCCCCCCTCCTCCTCTCCTCCTCCTCTCCTCCTCCTCTCCCTCCTCCCTCCTCCTCCTCCTCCTCCTCCTCCTCCTCCTCCTCCTCCTCTCCTCCTCCTGCCTCCCTCCTCCCCTCCTCCTCCTCCTCCTCCTCCTCCTCCTCTCCCTTGCCTCCTCCTCCCTTTGCCTCCTCCTCCTTTCTCCTTTCTTCTAATTCATTTCACCCCTCTCTCCTCTTCTCTCCATCCTCCCAATTACCAAGACTTCACATGCTTGAGTAATTATGGAAATGGTTGTGTGGGCAGAACCTGACTTTCATCTCAGTCTGGGGATTAGATGAAATGTGATGTCATCAAGAGTTAGATGGCATGAGTAGGTGTGGCTTTGAATGTTTAAATGTGTACTTGCCTACATGTGTGTGTGTGTGTGTTTGTGCATGTATGTATTTTTTCATTCTTCCTTTCAATTTTTTTTGTACTTGTAGTGTGTTCTCTTTTTCCTTTTCATTTAGTTTTATTTTCTTTTTTAAATTTTTTATCTTGCCTATTCCTTACCATGTTTTCACTTTTCCCTTTTGTTAAAGATCATGACTGTGCTTTTGAAACCTGATAAGCCTCAAATATTTCCAAAGTGCTCTTGCAGCCTTTTCATTGGTACGATGCAAATAATATGTTTTCAGACGAAGTTGGTTCTAGATAATTTTACTTTAGGTTTTCCATAGGTTTGTTTGTTTGTTTGTTTCTATGGTAGGACTAGGGTGTAGCTGTAACTGTGGTGTTGAGATGTGCACTAATTGGGAGGGAATGAATCAAAGTGCAGGTTTAGTTGTTAGGATTAAGTATCACTTATAGCAAGCTTTTTATGTAATTATTGTGAATTATTTATATTTATCACATGAATTTTCTGCAATGATGCATTATTGGTTTTATACATGTATATGTACCCCCACCCACACACATTTTATCAAGATATCAGTAATCTCAAATTTCTTACTCACTTAGCAACACAAAGTCTGTCATATCTTGTGTTCTTACACAACAAACATCTAATAAGTGTGAAAATCTTCAAGGCCGTTACTACCTCTTGCCACTTATCTTAAAGAAACATATCTGCAGCCTCATGTCTTTCTTTTATGTACATTGATTTTAAGAGATCACTCGGTGGATATTTTAAATATAATGTGTTATATACAAAACCATGATCATGATCTGTTGATCCAGAGATGCAGCTTGTCAAAGGTATACTCCATTGCTCTATCATTGTTTGTCTGTTTTATCTTATCAAAAATTCTGAACAAGAGACAGATACCAGTCAATTAAGTGCAGTGTGAAAAAAAATCTATAATTATTGGTAGAAGCTGCTTTTATTTTTCACAAATGAATTTGACGATTGTGTTATCATGATTCCTTGCTTTAGTTTAGTTTGTACCTATTGTGATAGCTTGTTGCTCATATTCACAGCAATAGGGTTTCATGTTACTTTGTGTAAGAGTCAAGAGAGGGAAATATAAGTTACTTAATTATTATAGGTCATTCAGTTAAGTATTGTAATTTTAGGTTGAGAGAGGACATGTGTGTTTTAGTAATAAAAATCATGATTCCTTTGAAGGTGTTCACAAGTACTATTCATATGTCTATTTCATATTATTTGTTTTATTGAAGTTTCTGGGAGTTTGTAAATATTTACATTTCACTTGCAGCAATAACCCTTTTTTACCTTGCTAGTCCTTCTTTTACTATTGATGGTTATACTTCATTAGAATGAAATAATATAGAAAGAATATAAACATAATTTCATTATGTATTTTTTTCAGCAATCTCTATTGAATATTTATTAGGAAGTTTAAGTGATTGGTATTTTGACTAATTTTCTAGATATGTCCACGGTGGATAGCGCCTAATGTCCTCACATTTGTGGGTTTCCTGTTCACGGTGGCCAACTTTGTCCTGTTGTCCTTTTACGACTACAGTTACTATGCATCTAGCGTTGACATACCTCCTGAAACCGGTCCATACCCACCTGTACCTAACTGGGTGTGGATAGTCTGTGCTCTCAATCACTTTCTGGCACATACTTTAGGTAAGTTCATGGAGGATTTAAGTGGATCTTTTTCAGGAGATTTTGTACTTGAGAATGATTATAGGTGACTGGATGGAGAATAAAGTGTCCTGTCTGTTGTGTAATATTTCAAGTAGTAGGTGTCCTTAACCCTCATAGGTTCTAACGCTTGGTCAATAATCTTAGATGGGATAGATGGAAAGCAGGCACGAAGGACGGGCACGAGTGGGCCACTGGGAGAGCTGTTTGACCATGGCCTGGACTCCTGGACAACGTTCTTCATCCCGGCCTGCATCTGGTCCATTTTCGGCAGGGCAGATTATAGCATTAGCCCACTCAGGTTCTATTTCATTTTATGGAATGTACTGTCCTGTTTCTACACCTCTCACTGGGAGAAATACCTTACCAAGATACTGTTTCTGCCATGGGGCTACGATATATCACAGGCGGTAAGAGTTTTCTGTAATTATTATTTTATTTCTGATTGTAAGAGAGAGAGAGGGAGGGAGGGTTGTTATTGATTGCACAACCTTGTATGGTTTATCACAGCCATTCAGTTCATAAAATGATCCACACTTGGGCCAATCCACGCTGTGCTGTAAACAGGCACTTCAACAACTATGCGCAGCCAACAGATAAGAAAAGGAGAATGCATGGTGAAAACAGAAAAACACACAGCTATTTATTGCACACAGTTTCCAATCTTGGAAAGCTTGAGGGAATGAGATGGAATGGTTGTTAGATTTTACTTAATGTGGTCCAGTCAGGCCAAAGAAAGTTTGAAAAACCAGCTTGTGGTTTTTTGACAGCTTACATAAAGTTGTGCATAAATATGGCAAATAACTACCTAGGGGGAATGGACATTCAAGATAAAGCAGATTTTAAGAATATTGAGGAAAAGTATGTAGTTTTTTAGTAATTGTGCTGACATAAATGGCTGAGTTAGAAGTCTGTTCCTTTAATGGAGATAGACAAAGGGACATGTACAAGTACAGGGAATGGTTCTATCATAACTATAGATGATGCTTGGTTCATTTAGTCAACTATAGAAATTGCATTCAAGAAAGTTTGACAGTAATGCTAAAGTCTGCAAATGATTTTCATTGATATACAGTTTGTAAGCTAAGGTTGTATCAAAGTATGGAAATATAACATTGTGCTAATTTTTAAAACTATAATCATTTAGGCATAGATGTCAGTATGTGTGTCTGTATCATTCCTAACCTATTTTTTTTCTCAAACAGCTAATCTTCGCCATATACTTGGTAACGGGAATATGGGGACAGCAAATATGGAAGTTCGAGATAGTACAGGGAATTTCTTCAGGGGCCATGTTTGAGTTCATGATGTATGCAGGGTCACTTGGCACCTCACTTCCAATGTCGTTTTGGAATGTTTATAAGTAAGTCGTGTGCAAGTATACAATTTGTTTTTTAATCATCATTGTTATCGTCATTGTCATCATCAGTAATAGCATTGCTAATCTTCAGGGATGTTTTTAAAAATATCAATATAATTTCATATCTTGGTATTTTGTATGTCATGGTTACACAGAAATTGAAATACATGGCAAAGGTAGTAGTAGGTGGTGTTATGCCTTTTTTATTATTTAGAATTTTTAATAAAGCCAACATTATTGCTTTTTGTTTATATTGTTGTATGTTATTGTTGTTGGTATTTTTAGAATTATTGTTATCATTATCATTATATGTGAAGGACTGCTTCTTTTGCAGAAATTCACAAAACTGCTTTTAACTGTTTTAATTATTTCAACAGGTCATACAGAGATGAGACTGGGAAGATGCTTGGGTTTTGGGAGGCTGTACGGCCCTTAATCACACCTTTGATATTTTTTGCTTTGTCGACAATCTGGGTGTATCAGTCTCCCACCAACATCATTGAAAGGGATCCAAGAATGGTCCTGTTCATGGTTGGCACAATCTTTGCTAATGTCAATGTGAGTAGTGTCCATCTGCTTCGGTTTTGTAGCTATGGCAGATTTTTTTTTTCTCTCTCTCTCTCTTACTGCTTTCTATTTTATTTTATTACTGCAGGTTTATTTTCTTTTCAGTAGGATAGAGATTAATTGACTGAAGCATGTATTATAAACAGAATGAAGCTGGATAGTGTATAGAATGCATTGATGATTGACTTTCATTTTGAATAATTTCATCTCTTAACCCCTACAATCCTGATAATATTATGGTCCTGTTATGGAAAAATCTGGGTCGAGGGCTGGGTGCCGTAAGTGTGTTACATTGGAAAAAATGGTGATGCTCCGGGTGACTTGAACTTGCCATCATGAGCGAAGGCCTAAGTGACAGAAAAGACTCGCCTAGTGTGCACAAACCTCTTGGAGTGTAATTTGACTCTATTTGGTGCTTAGAGAGGACTTTAGCATTATTCCCATAGATAAATGAATGTGTAACGTGCGTAAGCAGTGACTGAAAGACCGCCGGGTCCAGAGAGGACTCCATTTCCATGCTGCGCACTGTATTCCTGGCCGCTGTGACTGGTGGCACAGGTTGTATTACGTAAAATTGAAGATTACAAAAAGATGAGATATATGATACAAATAACCAAATGTTCTATATAATTTTTTTTCCTTGCACCAAATTATTTACTACATACAGAGGTGATATAGAGAAGAATATGTTCTTTCAGATTTTTCATGTTTTACAGTACTGGGTAAATAGGAAGAGAAAAAGCTTTTTGGGTTAAGGAATCACAATTGAATGATGAAGTGATTAAATTTTATCTCAGTATTAAAGCATATAGAATTAGTTCAGCTATATTTGGTGTATTGCAAGTGTCCACATTTAGCTAATTTTGTATTCATTGCTGGTTTATTGATGAATTAATAGGGTCGAACAATACATATAATAAGAAAAAATTCTAATCTAGTGGTATATTCTTTACACATTACCAAATTCTCTCTTCATATTATGCAGTGCCGGCTGATTGTCTCCCAGATGAGTAGCACAAGATGTGAGCTCTTGAATTGGCTGTTGCTGCCACTTGCTGTAGCTGTGGGAATTGCAATCACATTTCCCACTCTGGAGTTGGCAACACTCCTGATCATGGGCAGCATTGCAACCGTTGCACACATCCACTATGGTGTCTATGTGGTGAGTAATGTGAGAAGACTTATGAGAAATAAGAATAGGCATTGTCTCTCGATGTGCAGTCTTTGGAAAGATGCTAGTTATAATAATACGTATGTGATTTGTAAATTCCTTGATATTTCATCATGCATCTCGATCTTTGTGTAACCACCCATGTTCCTCCCCAGGTTCGTCAGATGTGCGATCACTTCCACATCAAGTGCTTCAGCATCAAAGACAGGACCGAATGATTGCTTGCCAACAGTGCATAAGGATTCTGCAGACAGTTGCCCTCTCAGTCATAGCATAAGTGGCGATTATGTTGATGGCAACCCATACTCATATGTTCACAATGTGTGGAGTCGGTGCATATCAGATAAGTCCTCCAAATGACTTGCATATGGGGAAATAAGGATACACGAACAAATACTTTTCTCTCTTTTTTTCGTTTTTTGTCTTGGGATTTTTTGTTTTTTAGATATGAAGGAATAGGAGAGGAGAACACAAAGCTCCTATGGGCTAGTTCAAAGTATTGGGATGAAGATTGAATGATTGTGATAGAATTCATTGAGGTACAGACATGTTGACAATATATCTCACTTTTATCTATAAAAGGCAAAAAAAATGCTCAACTTGTAGATGAGTAATATCAGATTATCCTAACATAGTTGAGGGATGGATGTGTTATATCTCATGACATCTGTTAAAACTTCAAGATTAATATTCATGAGAGTAGACTGGTAAATGCCATACATACCTGATGAAGAAGACAATAAGTACCTTAGATAGCAACTGAAAAACAAACAAAAAACTATTTATTGTTACATCTCCTTTATATAGAGTAGTACTGCATAGAGTTCATGGACTGACGGCAATGATTCAGCATCATTAACATTAATTGGCTTGCTTACTAGTGTGCTCTAGTGACAGATGCTCGAACTCAGCCTCCCTAACACTGCTTTTTCTCCATCCATTCCCATCCTCCCTTCTGTAACTCCTTACCCTTCTCCCTTTCTCCATTCCCCTCCCTTTGCTTTTCTATCCTCCCTCTCTCCCTCCCACTTGTAACCTGTCTCCACTCCGTTACTTTCCCATTTCCATTGTTCCCTCCCTTCCTCCCATCTCTCCCAGCTTCTTATCCTGTGGAACACACCTGTTATGTAGCAGTAGAAAAGGTATTCAGGTCACATAGTACCGGGTGTGATGAGTGGGAACTCTATACCTCCTCATCATGTGTTGCTTTGTGCCTTGAGTTTTGTGTCTTGCAGATTACTGAATGATTTAAGGTGCAATACTTCATGAATTAATGGTTATAGATGTTCCTTTGCTTGACATGTTGAGAAAAAAGGGTAAAAAATGAGGTAGTCCAGGTAACAGTGATGATTATTTTATTGATTCTCTTTTTTTTTTTTTTTTTTTTTTTTTTTTTTTTTTTTTTTTTTTTTTTTGTCTTCCTTTTGTGTTTACTTTTTTCATTTCATGTGTTCACATTTATATGTACTACCCCTGCATGATTATAGCACAGACATGTAATCATACACTTAGACACTGAGTAAACCAATGCATTCTGTATTGTTGCTAAAACTTACCCCACATTATATTCAATTTAACTTCGTTTTTTCTTTTTTTGAGTAGCCGTTTGAACACATGTCAATCCATGTATATCACTCCATCCATCCATACCTATATCTGTCTACCTCCACATGTCCTTTCTTCTTTCTTCTATTTATTTTTCTGATTAAAAAATATCTGTTTTGATGTACAAAGTTTCTATATTTTGACTGTTGACATGACTCCAATAGACATTTTATTTATTTGTTGATTAATTTTTCAACCAAAAATATTTTTATTTTATGAAACATACTCTTTACGGTTACTTTCACCATGTAATTACGTTACAGTAGTTTATTTTAATGTGGAATAATTTATTTAATATAATGTAAGGAAGGAAGTATTAATATTGGTAATAGTGTGTACTATTAAAAGTAGTGCTGTCGTTGCTGATGGACTGGATCAGCAGATTACAATGTGGAGCTTTTTTATTGTATCTTTTTGTTGAACTGTGTTAACATTTTTTATCCATGCCATCATGAAATGGGAGGTCTTAATTAGTACAATCAATAGGTGTACATTTTTCAGGTAAATGTTGCCAAGATATTGTTGTTGTTTATGTTACAGAGTCTAGAGGCAGTTGTTAACTGTGCAGCTCTTGTAAAACATAAATGGATATCATACCTTTTTCAACTGAATGCTGAGACAGTAGGTTTACTAGCCAGAATTGACAACCATGACTATAGCTAAAATATGGGATTACCAGAAACTGTAAGGTTAGGTATATAAATAGTTGTGCAACTTAGGACAACATTATTACAAATCACATCAGCCACCAAGTATTAGAGTGGAGGCTGGCTGTCAGGGCGCGTTGACACCAGCTTTGTCTTACACCAATTGCCTGTTCTTCACTAGCAGCTACTTCAGACTTTGCTCATTCGCGGAAGATCTTGCGCGAATCTTTTATTGGTAATGATTGGAGAAAAGATTGGATAGCCTCTTTGAGATTGATTAGCAGTAATAGTCTTGTGTTTACTGCATTGTTTGCCTGTATGATGGTATTGGGTTAATGGCATGTACAGGAATTCACTATTTACAATAAACACCCTCACTGGAACTTTACCAAACTGTGTATTACTAACATTCCATGGCCTCCTTTGCATGCTTTACGGTGACTGCCTAATGCTCCTTCTTTCCCTATAATGATTCACTGCTGCTCAGATCTGTGTTGGGGGGGGGGGAAATGTGGTATAAAGCTGGGAGATCTCTTATCAAATGCACTTATGGTGAGTATGAAATCCAAAAGCCAGTTGTGAATATCATTACTTTTCTCTTTACAGATGTAAATTTGACGAATAGTTTTTCTCAGACATTAATTGAAAATGGTAAAGAATGCAGATGATTAAATATTTAGCATTTGAAAAATTGGTTAAATTATTATCTACTCATTACTATTATTGCATTTTCTTAGGGGTTTTAATACTCATCTGATAACTTATTTGATTTTGTTCAACTTTGTTTTCTTTAGTTAGATATTTAGCCTTTGACCTGTAATTATCCTTTTTCTCCAAGATTTTTTTTAATGTGCTGATGTAACCATTAGTTATTTTTTTAGTCTCAATTGAAGTTTAAAGTTCATCTCTCAGCTGAAAGTATTTGATGCCTATTATAGATAGTACAATACATTGTTTGGTCTTTCATGATAATATTGGGTTATGACCATATTTGATCAATTCATTTTTGTTTTATTATTATCATTATTTATTTTTGTTCACTTATAACCTCATTAGTTTTATCACAGATTTCATCTTTGTAATTGATTTGTAATCTTTTGGGTCTTGTTATTCCTATATGTCATTCTACACTTATTGTTATTATTATTTTTTTGTTGTTGTTACTATTTTATTATTATTTTTATTTTTATTTTGTTGCTGTTGTATGATGATTGCAAGAGCAACAGCATATCCCTAGGCTTCCCAAGAAGTATTCGTAGTCTACATCTGTATCTGTAAGCAAGTTGTTAAAGAAAGCTCTCCAGTCAGGAGGACCAGATGACTCCTAGAATCCTGGTTTTACAACAGAAGAGGAAGAAATGTGCCGAATGTTGTTGTGTTCAAGAGTTATGGAAGAGGGCTCTGCCTAAAAGGTCTGTCCACATAGGTGGGTATAATTGATGAGCACAGTGGTGGGCACCTGGAAAGATGATGTCTCGGGTGAGAAAACAATGGGAAACTAGTTGTTTACCAAGTAATTTGCCTGCCTGGGATATCATCTCTACTGGTGCTTGCCCTTGTGCCCACTGATTATACCCACTTCTGTGGATAGGCCTTTAGAATCTGTAGTCTCCTGTGTACTGTTGGGGATCCGTATATTGGCCAGATTTACTAAGGCTTGGTCGCACAGTCACTGTGTGATCTGAAACATTGCTCTGTCACTGAATATCACAAAGTGGAAGATAGCAAAATCATATCTTGAAAGCACAATTTTCATTTTGATCTAATTTCCTTTTGTATTATTTTGTAAAAATAATTTTTCATCTTACCCTTTTTTCTTTTGTTTTCTTTGCCTTTATTGCCTTGTCTTCTGTTCTTGATTCTACTTTTCTTGCTTCTTCTCTTTTCATTTTTTTCTTTTCTGTTCTCTTCTCACCTTACTCCTCTCTTCTGTTGTCTTCTCTTCACTTTTTCCATTATTATTCTGAATATTTATTTTGTTTTCCTTTGATTCCCAGTTCTTCAAAGGCACATTTATTGTTATTCAATATGTACTTTTGATGAGTGAGTCTTTTTTTAATCAAAGTATGATTTTGATAAATTTGTAAATTTCAGATCTTATTTTCTCTTTTTCCCCTCAAGATATGCTTTAGTTATCTTCTTACCTTTTTGTCAAATGTTTATTTTAATTGTTATTATTTTTAAGATTTCTTTTCTTAGTAAAAATGTTTGAATTATGTTTATTTTCTGATAAATTTCTAGATGAATGTATACATTGACAGACCTCCTGTGATTTGTCTAATATTACATTTACAGAATGTGACTGACTGTACTGAAACAGTGTAAACTACACATCACTCTAAAGTAAGCTATTGCATACCCACTAGACTGTAAACATTAAGTTGAATCCACTCTGCACTTACTATCTTATATTTAATGTTTCACTACACTTCATTGCATTTTGTAGATTGTTGTACAATTCACAGGAAGGATGATTTTCAATAGAATGGACATAGTTTGAAGATGAAATATTGTTTTTTCCATTGGTGTATGCATTTCTAGTGTTATTGATTATATTTTAGTTGTTTGTTGATACTATCATTATTACTTGAGTTTTTCCATTAGCCACAACTGTTATTAATTTTATGATTATTCTTTTAATGCTTATGATTGGTATTTTCATTGTGTTTATTTTCTTGCTTTTATTGATATTACAGTTATTTTTTGTATTTTAATTTATTAAACAAGATGGTAACGCTGTTTAGAAAAATAGAGATAGCATGTTAATTTAGGTAGCTTATATTAAGCTTTCTCCTTCTTTTGACATGATTTTCCTGGAGTTAGTGATAAATTTGAAAAAACATATTAGCTCTCACTATGCTAAAATTTGATAAGGCTTGCATAGATTTAAAATTATGTGCACACACTATTGCAATTTTTTCTTTGTGATACATGGTGCTAATATCATTTTGTATCTTGAGTTGTGTACGACAATATCCGCTGGGGATTTCACATGATCCTTTCATGAAGTCTTGTGTGTTATTCCATAGAACATAGGTACATACCTGTATGTAACTCATTCACTTTGATACTGTAGTGCAGCAAACAGAATCCCTTAGCAATTGTAGTTGAGAAAAAGATTTCTACACCGATCTAACCAAATAACATATATGTAAGCTGTTTTCCAGATTGCTCTAGTCAAAGGTATTTGACTGATACAAAGGAAAGTCTCTCAAGACAAAATAATGACTGCAGATTCTCATGTATGTGTTCGGATTGAATCAGATCAAAGTACATAATAGGTCAGCAGTCTGATTACTCAGTCCTTTATAAATATTGTAAATATATTACCAATTCGTGATAGGTGTTCCTATGATAGTTTTGTTGGATCCTGAGGGTTCATTGCACGTAGTTTGTATGAAATATTTAAATAAATACTTGCTCAGATTGGGCAAGCTTAATGTACCAAAAGGATGGTCCCTCAGGTCTCACTTTGGAAGATAGAATCGATAACCGAAACGCCTTGTCCGCTTCATGCTTCCCCGAAAAAAGCAAACAGCTATGCACGCCGGAAGCTATCTGGACGTGTGGCCTTCTCGCCGTACTTATACGTGGTTTTGTATTGTGGTAGGTATTAATTTTACTTCAATTTTATTGTTTCTATGAGTTCTTGCGATTTTAATGTGCTTTAAGCTAATCCTATATTTCCAAACTTTACCATCGAACGAAAAAACTGAAAAGTCTACGCGAAGAGTGATTACAGTATCATTCCCGTTAAATGTGATTTTACCCAGCACGAGAAAAAGATTTGCCCAGCCATGCCCCAGCTACAGAGAGTGGTCATCAAACTCCGTAGATAAATTACCGCAAATTAGAGGTTGCGTTCACCTATCACATATGTAGCCGACAAGGGACTAACACTAAGCAGATGCAGAGCCAAGCGCGATTTGATTTGTAGGTAAGATGAAACGATCTGGAGTACTTTGTAACCCTGTCTTTGAACGACTTAGAATGAACAAACAAGACTAGGTAGACAGCGCGACAGATATGCGTAGGTGAAATGCAGTGTTTTATGGATAATAGAGTTCTTAGGACCCTAGCCTAAAGTAGTTCACCATTGCGTTATTTTTTTTATGTATATGCACCAAAGGAATGCAGCTTATTGGGAAGGATGAGAGATCGTATATCCTGATTAATCTGATCATTATCTTGTCACCACATAAACCAAAAAAAAGAAAATCGAGTACAAGTGTGCTTAGCTAAATTCAATAGTAATGCGAGTCTCACTGTCCCTCCTTGATAAGCTATAAAGACCAGCACAAGGCCAACTACCCCTTTCTAACCATAGCAATTAAAGACTATGATATATAAGAGACGAGAAGGATATAATGTCAAAAGGAGGCGGAAGACAAATAAAAGCTGAATGAATGTTCAGAGAAAGGGGAGGAGCAACAAAGCACTCGATAAATTTGTCTACTAATGAACACATAAATATGTACTGCAAGATTGATGCGCGTGCACTCCAAATTAGAATAATCTGTCGATGAGGTAAGAGACATCTACATACATATTTAAATCACCTGCGCCCTCCACTAGGCCTATGGCTATAGCCAGTCATATCAAATATTCGATTACTTCAGTGCCCTGCGATTGACAAGCATAAGATTTCCTATAATTGCTGTTCCTTGAATGTCAGTATATGTGCTCATTAGCTTCTGATTCCCACTTTCTCACAGAAAACGAAAAAAGAATAGTAAAAAAACGATTACCGAAAGTTGATACACGTAACAATGAGTAAATAATAGTGATGAATTAGTCAAAAAAAGGACAACCATTGTGTGTCACAATCCCTTTGATAACTTTTTATCATAGTTGCTACTATACAAATTGAACGGATATTCACCTTATCACAGTAATTTCAAACCCATTTTTCATCTACGATAGTAGCCTCAATATATCTATTAATTAAACATTAAATGTTTATGTCACAATTATCTTTACCTCATGTTCACTCTATACAATGATGACACTTGCAAATCATAAGCATTAGTATTTTGGAGCAACAGTGAAAAGACATATTATACCGATGTGTTGTACGGCTAATCCAATAACTAAGCACTGATTCGAATATATAATGAGTCAGTTTCCAAGTAGAAAAAAATAAATCATAAAAATTAAAAAAAGCATATAGTGTGAGAGCATGAGTATTCGATTCATATCAAAGCACTATCCATACGTTCCCGATACAAACCTATAATTCTTCGTGTTTGGACTCACCTTAGCTTATATTTGTTCAATTCTACATAATGTTAAATCACATTGTCAAGTGCAAGACCATCAAGTAGATTTCTCTCGAATATATGCGGGCAGAAGAGAAAGCAGTATTTGTGTTGATATAAAATTATCTTC